TGGCTGGCAACTTCAGATGTCTTTAATTCTGTTACACATTCTAGCAAACATCAGGTGGTGGTTGATACAGGGAAGGGTGGTGGATCAGCTTCAGGTGGTCTCTGACTGATTGTTAAAACAAAGCCCTGCCATCGGGTTGATGCCAGCTCATAGCGGACCCATAGAGCAAGGTAGAACTGCTCCTGTTGGTTTCCAAGATCCTAACTTTACAGGAGTAGAAAGCCCGTCTTCTTCCCACACAACTGATTCTAGTTGTGTTTTGTGTGTGTGTGTGTTGTTTTTTTAAAAACCTCTGAATAGATATTCTGTATTGGAGAAATAGAATGAAAAATAAAATCTACGCCCAACCCAGAAAGATAGGAGAGAATGAAGTTTGAGGACTAAGACTTTAACCAGCCTGTGCTGCAGGACAGGTGATCGACTAAAGACCCTGGGACACAAAAAGAAACCTGACCTTTTATAGATCTGAGTGGCTACCACCCAATACCTTCAGGCCATCAAGATACAATTGCTCACCTTCTAGCGTCTTTATGGCAGGAAGTCTGAATTGATGCTAATCCCTTTCCAGGAACTTGAGAGGTAGGTGGGATCATACTGCTTGATGATTACATTTTAAAGGAGATGGCTCCAGATTCTTGAGGAAACATCTTTTCAAAGAGACAGCAAGATTCTGCAGTGATCCAGTTGCCCAGGGGAATGCTGAGGAAGCGAGGGAGGAGCAGCAACGTTGTGTGTTATTTTCAACGGGAAGAATGAAACCCTCCTCATCCCTTTCTTCCTAGTCTGCCTTCATCTAGAACAGCGGTTCTCAACCTGTGGGTCGTGACCCCTGCGTGTGGGTCGAATGACCCTTTCACAGGGGTCGCCCGATTCATAACAGTAGCAAAATGACAGTGATAAAGTAGCAACGAAAATAATTTTAGGGTTGGGGAAGGGGGGTTACCACAACAGGAGGAACTGTATTCAAGGGTCACGGCATTAGGAAGGTGGAGAACCACTGGTCTAGAAGCTCTACTGAAACCTATCCACCATGGATGACCCTGCTGGTATTTGAAACACTGGACGAAAACCATTCAGCATGACAGAAACACACATCCCCACAGGGATGGACTGGTGGTGGCTGTGTTCTGCAGACATTCTATTTTGCATCTGACAATATGTGATGTGATGGAGTCAGCCACTCTTCCTCCCTTAACTCACCCCATCCTCACCTCCCACAGTGCTGCATTTGTCTTGTTTTCTACTACACGGTTTGCTACTTTTGAGAGTGTGGTGATGAACCTTAGAAAAAATTGAATTGGGAGCATAAGTGAAGAGTGTGTCTACAGACCTAGATTGAAACTGTTTTTAGTATGTTCATTTCTACCTTTCTAAATAAAGCCATGATGAACCCTTGTGATGCAGTGGTTACACATTGAGATAGTTTATTGTGCCAGCCTGGCCAATAAACACGTGGGATTAATCGAAGGGAGGAGAGAAAAATAGCTTGGCTAGCCTCACCTCTCTTGTCTCTTGCTCTTTGACCATCGGACCAGTGTGCGGCTGCCTTGCTTGTTCTGTGCCTCAATTTTCAAGCTACACTACCTGTGGGACACCTAACCCGTAGACTGTGTCGCTGTAACTTGAGGTTCCTTCAAGACCTGCTTCGCCACACTATTGAAATTTACATCTCTTGAGCTGGGGACTGTCAGACCCTGTCATCTGACTGACTGTTGGTGACCTGCCTTGCTGTTTGCTGCCTGTCCCCGATAGCCTGAACTGCTCTACAGAGGACTACCCAGCAGCCTTCAAGACTTGAAGGACTTGCAGTGTTTCACAATTGTCTCACAGGAGTGAGTTGCACTGAGCCCTTTGTACTGCTTTATAATTTAATTAACCATTTATTTCTTATGTTACCTATCTATCTATATAATTATTAGCATTCTGGTTTTGTTTCTCTAGAGAACCCTAACACACACATTTATCTGCAACCCTCAAGGTCAGCAGTTTGAAACCACCAGCCACTCCAAGGGAGTAAGATGGAGTTTTCTACTCTGTAAAGAAGTAGTGTCTTGGAATCTCACAGAGGCAATTCTACCCTGTCCTATAGGGTCGTTATGAGTGGGCATAGATTCAATGGCAGTGGGTTTAAAGAAAGCCATTCACTTCCCACCCCCTTATTAAAATATTGCTGTTTGATAACAAAGGAAAACCCAATGATTTCTAACCTAGATGAACAATTACTTAGTGGTAGAGAAGGAGTTCTACAGATTGGGGTGGTGGCGAGGGGTGGATGTTTATTATGCCCCAAGTGCTCTAAATTCCTTTTGAAAAACAATATTAAGTTGGTGGCGAGGCAAGAACAATGGATAGGACCCAGGCAAACACTGACTTTGAAAAAACCCAAGTGTGCTGAAGTTCCAAGGTATGAAATTGAAGAAAAAAATGTCTTCCTCCCACACCATGATGCCAAGAATGGTGTTGTTGATCTAAGTAAAACGAAAGCCTTGACAATGTCAATCTTTTCTCCATTTATCACGGCATTGCTTACTGGTCGAGTTGAGAGGCTTTTTGCTTTCCTGGGGCATCCTTTGCATATATTCTGGTCATCTTTTCACCATTTCTTCCTTTTGCTTTAGCGTCTCTCTATTTAAGAGGAAGTTCCGGAGTCTCATCTGATATTTTCTACTTCTGAGATTTCCTTTTCTGAACTGGGTTTATGTGTTTCCAGTGTGCATTTAATCATTGATATGTCATACACGATGTTAGCATTCAATTGTTCATTAATTTTGAGATTTTTTAATTCTGTATTAGGAGCCTTGGTGGTGTAGTGGCTACGAGTTGGGCTGAAGCCCACATGGCTGGCAGTTTGGAACCACCAGCAGCTCCTTGGGAGAAAGACTGGATTTCTTACTCCCATAAACAGTTACAGTCTTGCAAACTGCAAGGGCTCACTATGAGTCTGTTTGACTTGATGGCGGTGAGTTATTGCTGTAGGATTGGTTGTCAAGTCCTCACTACTTCCACTTCTGATTTCAGTTTAAATCTTAATCTTTCAAACGTTTTCTTTCCATTGATTACATCCATTAATTTTCTATTTTCTGCTTAATTCCTGGTCTGAATTTTCATTTTCTTCCTTTGGCAGCTCTGAGTTTAGTTTGTGCTTCATGTTCTAATTCCTCAAGCTATAAAGAAAATTAGGCTATTGATTTGAGATATTTTAAAATGTATTTAGCATGTTAAATTTCACTCATAGTGATGTCTTTACTGCATCCTATCAAATTTGGAATATTGTGCTTTCATTTTCATTTGACCCTACATGTCTTCTGATCTCTTGATTCCTTGAGCCAATGGTTAATATTGGATTATGTTCCACATAATTACTTTTGTTTCTCTTTTTTCCCCATTTCATTCCACTGTGGTTAGAGATGATACCTTACATGATTTCAGTCTTTTAAAATGCATTATGACTTGTTTTGAGACTAGCTTATGGTGTATTTTGTAAAATGATTCATGCGCACGGGAGAAGAATGTAAATTATGCTATTGTTGGGTATTCTATACATTTGTTGGGTCTAGTTCTTTTATAGTGTTTTAAAATCTTCTAACCTGTCCACTAAGGAGCCCTAGTTGCACTGCCATGTAAGCACCCATCAGCCACTCCACAGGAGAAAGATGAATTTATCTGTTCCCATAAGGATTTATAGCCTGGGAAACCTGGGTTACTGAGTTGGAATCAACTAGATGGCAGTAGGTTGGGGTTTTTATTGGTTAACCTGTTCATTATCCAGGCTTCTGTGAAGACAATCTCTGTCTTGTTCTTTAAATGAGCCATTATTTCCAGTTTCCTTGTGTATTTTATTGTTGAAGGCATAAAAGTATATCACAATGTGTTAACCTTCTCACTCCCCCAGAATACACAGTGCTTTCTAACGCACTGCTTCCAAGAAACTCACAAGCAGATCAGCCTTCAATCTTTGCTCACTGCTCCCTCCCCAGCCAAAGAGCTCCAGTTCAGGCCAAAGGACTGGATTCTTTAGGCTTCCCCCAGGCAATTTAGAAGCAAAATCTGCTTATTCATTCAGAGCCTGATACCCAGACATCTCCTTGTGAACACAAGCATCACAGGTGACCTCCATAGGAGCCATTCAGGTACTGCACTGGAAGAGAAGTCAAACCTACCATCTTGATGCAGTGTGAGTTTAAGATGGCAGAATTCTTTGGAGAAGAGTGAGAGAGATGGAAACATCACCTTCAGGAGTATATAGATCTAGATGGAGGGGATGTTGAGAAACAACAGCTCCATATGTGGATATTTTTGTTTAATAAGGGTCTCTATGATTTTGTAGAAATACTTTTTGGCGAACCTTATATTAATGACTAGCCTACACATTACCTCTAGCCATGAGAAGGTTCCAAAAAATTTCATGAAAAAAAAAATTAAATTTCTCCAGTCTTTTGGAAGTCCCGCTTTTATCAACCACATCTTGAGGTAATTTTTTTATATTGTACTAGGAAGGCTCTAACCTTGTTTTCTCATGAATATGTACTTTCCTTTCCCTTCAAGAGTCTCTATCACTTTAATGACTATATTGTATATCAAAACTTAATCTTCTGCTGATGAATATATATATATTTATTTTAAACTTTAGGATAAACATCTTGGCATAGAATCTTTCTTGATTCTGCTATAAATCTATGCAAAACTTCTAGTGCTAGAATTACCACGTCAGATGGTGCTTGCAGACATATTGACCAACTAATCTCAAAAAGCTCATGCTGTCCATCCACTGCTACTGAGGGAAGACAGTCATCACAGAATGTTGCGTACATGGCAATGAAGTTTTAGTCAAAACGCAACAGGCTTCTCTTCCCTTGTATTGCAGGGACGGGAATGGGATGGAACAGGTGATGTACTGGATGTCCTTGTAATTTGCCAGTGTCTCTTCGCTTAGGAAGTCCTAGTGGAAAAGGATGACAGCAGAGAGCTAAGCCTGAGCAGAAATAATGAGAAGTAAGCAATTATTATCAACTCAAGTTTACTAAGAAACTATTTTGTTGCTAAGTAATTCAGAGATACAAGAAAACCCTACCTTAGTGGGAGCTGGACAATTCAGTTGTGTAAACTGCAGGGGCTCATCAGTTAAAAAAAAAAGTCTACAAAATACAAACTAATGATATTAAAAGTTATACCATACGCAATTGATGATACTGGACACGGAACGGAAACTGGATGAATGAAGCCATTCAAAGCCTTTCAAATTTGTATTACTGTGGATAACAATATCACATGACTTTGGCAGCTTGGTTAATGTTGGTTTCTTGAAAGTAATGTTAAGAATACTTGCAGAATTCTTTCTGAGTATATTTTAATACAAATTTGGGGTAGGAAACGGATGAAAACTTTCCACGTTTGTCTGAATTATGGGGTCTTTCCTCCATGTTATTCAACCATTGCTGGCTATCCAGGTACTGTATATTCTATGTGGTGGCGATTAAGATGATGAAAATTTTCTTCCCTAAACAGGAGCTACAAATACTGACCATGTTTATTAAACAAATAAGGTTTTCTCTTCTCTGTGGAATCTGATGCTAGAAAGGATTCCTTTCCAACAGAGTCCTTAAAAGATACCGATCTCTCTTAAGATCCTTTGATGAGGCGTCCAAGTTCTCAAGGGATCACTTCGCACAGTGAGCATGGACTCTTCAGTGGAAATGAAGATGTGAACTTTAACTGCAGGCCCCATCACACCTCCAATCTCTACAGATGACCTCCTCCGTGGACTCTCTGGTGGTACACGAGATGTGATCTCTGACTAAAACCCTTGCAACAGACATCACAGATGTACGGCTTCTCTCCAGTGTGGACCCTCTGATGTGTGTGAAAATGGGAGGCCTGACTGAAGCCCTTACCACACTGCTGACATGTATATGGTTTCTCCCCCGTGTGGACCCTCTGATGAGCACTGAGCCCAGCACTCCAACTGAATTCCTTCCCACACGCCTCGCACTTAAATGGTTTCTCTCCAGTGTGAATGATCTGATGGACTTGAAGATTTGACCTCTGGCTGAAGGCCTTACCACAGGTCTCGCATGTATAGGGCTTCTCTCCTGTGTGGACTCTCTGATGGGCTTGAAGATGGGAGGCTTGGCTGAATCGCTTCTGGCACGCTTCACACTTGAATGGTTTTTCCCCAGTGTGGACGCTCTGATGAGCTTGAAGATTTGAGGCCTGACTGAAACCCTTACCGCATTCCTCACATTTATAGGGCTTCTCCCCTGTGTGGACTCTCTGATGATTGTGGAGGTTCAGGCTCCAGTTGAATCGCTTCCCACACACCTCACATTTGTATGGTTTTTCTCCAGTGTGGACTCTCTGGTGGGCTTGAAAATATGAACTCTGACTGAAGCCCTTCCCGCACACATTACATCGAAAAGGCTTCTCGCCTGTGTGGACCCTCTGATGGCTCTGAAAACTGGAGGCTGAACTGAACCCCTTACCGCACTCTTCACATTTATAGGGCTTCTCTCCCGTGTGGACCCGCTGGTGACTGTGGAGATTAAAGCTCAGACTAAAGCACTTACCGCACTCGTCACATTTGTATGGTTTCTCTTCCGTGTGGACTCTCTGATGGGTGTGAAGGTTTGAGCTACAGCTGAAGCGTTTGCCACAATCCCCACATGTGTATGGCTTCTCTCCGGTGTGAATCCTCTGGTGGGCTTGAAGATGTGATCTCTGGGTGAAGCCCTTCCCGCACACGTCACATTTGTAAGGCTTCTCGCCAGTGTGGACTCTGCAGTGAATGTTAAGATCTGTGCTACGGCTGAAGCCCTTCCCACAGCTGTCACACCGGTAGGGCTTCTCTCCCGTGTGAATAGGCAAATGCGCGTAAAGATGGGAGCTCTGATTGAAGCTCTTACCACATTCGTGGCACGTGTAGGGTTTCTCCCCGGTGTGGACTCTCTGATGAGTTTGCAGGTTGGAGCTCTGACTAAAACCCTTGCCACATTCCTGACACCAATAGCGTTTTTTCCCCATGCGGGCACTTCGTTGGTCTGGAATACCTGAGCCATGACGGACGCCCTTTCCTCGTGCACTACATGTAGGGGGCTTCTTTCCCAAGTGGACCTGCTGCTGATGGAGTTCAAGGCTGGAGCGATCACTGAAGGCACTGTCACATTCTGTACACTGGAACCTTCTCTGTCCTGGGAGAATTCCACTATGCTGGTTGAGCGATGATATCGTTAAGGTGATGTCTTTCCCATAGGTAGTGTTGTAATAAGTCTTGTCCTTTTTGCACATGACATTGTTGTGATGGTGTGACATGCAGCTGAAAAGGTCCACACAGGGAGGAAATACACATAATCTGGTTTTCATTTGAGTTTGCATACAATGTCCTTGGAAATTCTGGGTCTCACTCAGGTATATTTTGTTCCAGGAATTCTGAGTTCTCCCAGCTGGAAATTCTTGAGTTTTGATAACATTGGATTCATCCCCTCTATGATCCGTTAGACAGTTGTCATCTTCAGCAACACCTTCCTCGCCTTGGCAGGGGGGATCCCTTGGCTTGGGGAAGCGAGCCCTCTTTCCTTGACTACTCATCACGAAGTCTTGACTGCGAGTTAATTTGTTCACATGTCCCCTGATTTGCCAGCATGAAAGCTCTCCCAGGGAAAGGCATCTTATTGCTGCTTCAGGAGTCTCCAGCTCCTTTTGATTTCTGCCTCCTGAAAGGACAAAGAGAATACAGTATTGAGGACAAGCGGATGCTTTGTTGGGATATTTCAGAATTTTACACCTACACCTCTTCATTTTTCATTCATGAAGGGCATCTCCCGCTTGTCTTGACCATTCGTGTTGGGTTTCTCTGGTTGTCTCACCCTCTAGAACCAAAGAGGTGGTCTCTGGGTCCCCAGCCTCAGGAAAGATGTTCTTGCAATGGCTTAGGCCAAGTCTCGGGGAACACTTTGAAAACAAAGACACATGATGATGTTCCCCATGGGGCCTGGTTATTGGCATGTAAATAAAAATGGAAGCCATGGGCTTGGATAGTTTTGCCTTTGTCACTGAGCCGATGAAAGGGTCTCTTGATCCTTGAAGTGCTCTATCACTTAATGGCTGGGTTAAGGAAGATAAGCCCCGAGGAGCCTGAGGACCCCTGCTGACCCCTGCTAGCTCCTGCTGTAGGTTTCAGACTTAGACACGGCATCTTTGAGAAGTCATTGAAGACACTTCAACTCCCAGGTGACATTCTTCTTCAGCAGGCAGCCATGACTGTCCCCACTAGTGCCATTATTATTGATTACATGGCATGTGATCCCACACAGCTCTAAGTTACTGGGAACAGATTGCCAAGATTACCGGAGAGGACATTCAGGCGGGCAACCAATACATAAGAATTAACATACACACACGATTTAACACACACACAAACACACACAAATAACAAGTGTTAGGATGTGGGAAACTGGAATCCTTCGCCATTGCTGGTAGGAATGGAAAATATTGCATGTTCTCACTACCATCAAATGACCTGTGTAGATAAAAATATAGACACCAATGTTCATAAGTGGTTACCTGGGGTGGGAGGGGTTGGGGAGAGGGTGTATTATTCCCCAGGTTTCAGTTACTTTTTGTTGTTAGGGATGGGAAAAGTGACGCCGCAGGTGGGAGAAGTTGGCTCAGCGGGACGGAGAGAATTGATGTGAAGGAGCTGTACATAGGTGTGGTAGTTACATAATCTGTTGTCAACTTGAGACTTACAAGTGAAGAGGTGGAGTTTACCCAGCCATCAGGTCGCAGCTCGACCTCATTTGGAGGCGCTAAGGAGATAAATAGCTTGCTGGAGGTGGGACACACATTGACTCCCTGAGAGACTCTCTGTTGACAAGCCACCTGGAGACAGGCTAATGCAGCCAGAGCCTCGGAGCTGGAGAAGCCACGTGGACACCCCTGCCAGTGCTGAGATGTTTACACCGCCACAGGATCAACAAGACTTTTCACCCACTGGCCTGTGATCATCCGACATTCGGCATGAGTCTGACAAAGAATTTATAGATTGGTATTGGACATATGAGCTAATAGCAGTCTTATGGACTTGATCTGGACTGGGCTGGGATGTTCTCTCAATATTCAATTACTCTTGTACATAAAACTCTTCCTTGTACACATATGAGCGTCTATACATTTTGTTTCTCTAGTCCACCCAGAGTAATGCAATAAGGAAAAGGATGAATGGGCAAACACTAGGGGGTATACAGTTTTGCAACACTAACAACAAGGAGTAAGTAGTACAGATGTTGACAATAATCAGACATAACCAATCACCTCATGCATGGGATCAGTTCTCTTGGGTTGAGGGCTTAGGGCTGTGATCTCATGGGACAATCATCAATAGGCATGACATAGCTCTTAATGCCTATGTTCTCCCTCCCAGTGTGGTATGTAGTCTCTAGGATCTTAAACGTGTGTGAATGGCCATTTAAGATACAGTCATTGGTCTTTATTTGTCTTCAACAAAAGAAACCCAAGAATCAGAGAAGGAACTAGATCACAGGGCTCATTATTTCCATGAACCACTGCCTCCTCCACCTTGAGACCAGAAGAACTAGATGGTGCCCAGCTACCACTGACCATTCTGATCTGGAACACAACAGATGAATCCTGATTTTTTTAAATGTAGATTGGGTGTTTTGGGGCTCTCTGCACGACACCATGGCGGTTGGCAAGAACAAGCGCCTTACAAATGGTGGCAAAAAAGGAGCTAAGAAGAAAGTGGTTGCTCCATTTGCTAAGACAGATTGGTATGGTGTGAAAGTACCAGCTACGTTCAATACAAGAAATAATGGGAAAACACTAGTCACCAGGACTCAAGGAACCAACACTGCATCTGATGGCCTCAAGGGTCGAGTTTTTGAAGTGAGCCTGGCTGATCTGCAAAATGATGAGGTTGCCTTTAGAAAATTTAAGCTTATTACTGATGATGTTCAGGGCAAACACTGCCTGATGAACTCGCGGGACAAGGTGTGCTCCATGGTCAAAAAACGGCAGATCTTGATGGAAGCGCGTGTTGATGTCAAGACTACCAATGTTAATGTCGAGACTACAGACTACTTCATCTGTTCTGTGTTGGTTTTACTGAAAAACACAATAATCAGATTCGGGAGACCTCTTATGCTCAGCACCTGCAGGCCTGCCAAATCCAAAAGAAAACGAGGGAAATCATGACCCAAGAGGTGCAGACAAATGACTTGCAAGAAGTGGTCAATAAATTGATTCCAGGCAGCATTGGGAAAGATACAGAAAAGGCTTGCCAGTCTATTATCCTCTCCATGATGTGTTTGTCAGAAAGGTAAAGATGCTGAAAGAGCCCAAGTTTGAATTGGGAAGACTCATGGAGCTTCATGGGGAAGGTGGACGTCCTGGAGAAACTACTGGAGATGAGGCAGGTGCAAACGTGGAACGAGCTGATGGCTATGAGCCACCAGTTCAAAAATCTGTTTAAAATTCAGACTTAATGTTGACAAGTTACAGGTCTTATTGTGGTTAAAAAAAAAAATGTAGATTGGAACTTCAAATTCTTAAGTCCGGATTTACTGGGTCTATGGAGGCTAGAGGAGTCCCGGAGACGGTTTAAACCTTAAAGGGAACCTCTCCCCGGAAGTCACCTTTAAACTAAGTGGCAGTCTGTTTAGCCCAAAAATTGTTTGTTTTTTTTTTAATTTCTTTTAAGACCAAAGGAGCAACAGCTATTGTAGAGCACAGATGAAAAAGTTGGAGGGGGCTGGGCAGGGAGTTTAAGTAAATGGAAGTAAAACAAGTAGAACAGAGAGAAATACAAAAGAGCCCTGGTGGGGTCGTGGTTGTGCGTTGGACTGAGATCTGCGAGGTTGGCAGTTTGAAACCACCAGCGGCTCTGAAGGAGAAACACTGAGCTTTCTACTCCCATAAACAGTTACCATCTTGGAATCCCACAGGGGGTCACTGTCAGTCAGCAATGACTCAGCGAGGTTTTATTTTTCCATCGATACAAGGTGAAGAATATAACCGATGTGACCGACCAGTAAGTCTAGAAACGATGGGCCCGGGGTGGGTTTTGTGTCTTTTTACCCAAAATACAGTGGAATTTTTTTTTGGTTTGGTTTTGGGTGTTTTTTTTGTTGATAATGAAATATATTTATTTTTATTTTTTAATCGTTTTATTAGGGGCTCATACAACTCTTATCACAATCCATACACACATCAATTGTGTAAAGCGCATTTGTACATTCATTGCCCTCATCATTCTCAAAAAATTTTCTTTCCACTTAAACCCCCGGCATTAGGTCCTCATTTTTCCCCTCCCTCCTCGCTCCCCCCTCCCTCATGAGCCCTTGATAGTTTATAAACTGTTATTTTGTCCTATCTTGCCCTGTCCAACGTCTCCCTTCACCCACTTTTCTGTTGTCCGTCCCCCAGGGAGGAGGTCACATACAGTTCCTTGTAACCGGTCCCCTCTTTCCTACCCACTCTCCCTCTACCCTCCCTGAAAGTGGAATTTTTTTTTTTTAATGTTGAATGATCAAGTGAGGTGAGGGTAAATGGTTTGCACTCAACAGCTAACCTCAAGGCTGGTAGTTCAAATCCACTCTGCAGCACTGGGGAAGAAAAGGTCTAATGACCTGCTTCTGTGGAGACTGACAGCCCAAGGCAGCTCTGTGGAACGGTCCTGCTCTGTAACCCTGTGGGCTCCCCATGAGTCAGAATTGACTTGACAACGGACTACACACGAGGCAAGAATGCCAACATGATTGGCCCTGCCAGGACTGTACCTGGGTGACATGGGAAGCCAAAGTGGAGGGTCTGAAGCAGATGAGTGCCATGATGTGACTCGGGCTCCCTCCGGGGCTCCTGTGGAGGAGTCACTCTCCAGAATGAAGGCAGAAGCCTGGGCTGTTCCCTCCAAGGACTCGCAGCCACCCAGTTCTCACCTGAACACCAGCCGTCCTGGGTCTGGAGCGTCTCCTCTCTCTCCAACTGTGAGATCATATCCGGCTTGAAGAACTGATATCCTGTGGAGAGACGAGGAGATCTACTGAAGCAAAAACAGAACGGTAAAGATCACTGGAAAACCCAGCATCGAAGACGTCCCTCCCTCTGCCCAAATGGTTTTCAAACTCCGTGTGTGTGTGTGTGTGTGTGTGTGTGTGACCCACTGTAAGAAATTCATTGAGTATCATGAGTCAGTACACACACACACGTAAGTTACCGAAATGAAAGCCTTAAACATCCTGTTTCTTTTTGTTGTTTTTGCTTTTGCTTTCATCGCACCCCTTCCAATCTTCCGTGACTCTGCTAACGGCTACTGTTGGACTTGTCCTTGTGTATCATTTAAGCCGTGAAGGTTATTCATGTCTCCCATTTAGTCTGTGAAACTCGGAGACTGCTACTCTCTTCTGGGGCAAAAATGCTGATACAACACCTTGAATAAGTTGCATGACCTGTCAGTGGGTCATGATTCCCCCATTGTTGAAGAAGATATGAAACAGGGAACCAGGGGCAGCCAGCCTGCTCACTTGATAAACTTTTGCCTTGGAGCAAAGACCAGAAGTGCCTTATCTAACGGGGTTAGAGTATAGCCTTGAAATAGGGAGTAGAAGTCAGGGATGCTGATAATACCCTATAGAGCACAGGACAATTTCCTGTAATAGTGAGTTAATTGGAGCCCTGGTGATGTAGTGGTTATGCACTGAGCTGGGATCTGCAAGTTCAAATCCAACAGCTTCTCCTGGGGAGAAAAGTAGAGCTTTCTACTCCTGTAAAGAGTTACAGTCTCAGAAAACCCACCAGGGCAGTTCTACCCTTCCCTGAGAGGGTCACTCGCTATGAACTGGCGTCACCTCAATGACAGTGGGTTTGGTTTTTTGGCAACGTCAACAGTGCCATGGCTGAGAAACCCGATTCCAGGGGCTGATGGTCAGTTCCAGAGGGCGCCTGTCCTCACCACCCAAAGAGACCAGGTTCCGGAAGTTCTCCAGCATCACGTCTCGGTACAGCGTCTTCTGGGAGGAGTCCAGCAGCCCCAGCTCCTCCTCGGTGAAGACCACAGCCACGTCCTTGAACGTCACCACTTCCTGCAGCACCAAACACACCCAACCTCAATCTCACAACCAGAGTCCCCCGGAAGGACAGCACTGAGAAGGTGGAGAGGGGTTATGGGACACAGGAGATTTTAGTAGCACCCTTTCCCTTCCACCAACAAAACCAGGTGCCTTGGAGTGGATTAGAATGTACGACCACCCATGGTGTCAGGCTAGACCTGGGCTCCATAGGGTTTTCAATGGCTGGTTTTTTGGAAGTAGATCATTGGGTCTTCCTTCTGAAATAGATTAGAGCCTCTAGTCTGTTAGTCAGCAGCTGGGCCTTTAACTTGCTGCACCACAAAGAAACTCCCATGGCACAATCGCAACAAAAGCACCACTAAAGAAATAAATGAAAAGATGGCTTTGTTCCATAAACATGGTTTCTGTTGTATAGCCAAGTCCCTCACAGTGTACTTGTTAGATCATGGCACGCACACAGTTTACTATGTGACCGACAGGGCCAGACTTCATCCCGACAGCACCTGATGATGCCTGTCTCCTTCTCTCACCGGGTATTCCCACTAGTTCATTAATGCTTGCCAACAGGCCTTCATTCACCTTCCAGGGCAAGCTGGTTCTGTGTTCTCAAGTAAAAGGCCCTGTCTCAATTATAAGCGTATTCATGGTGTCAAGGTTAAGAACTGTGGCTCAAGTGATCCTCTTCATACGGTCCTTCTAGTTAGAGTCTTTGGGACTCCCAAACAATGACTGAGTGAGAGCAAGGGTGGAATGTTAGGAATCGAATTGTGGCTATCCCCTCCCGCTCTTGCACCTGACCCAAGCCATGGTATTTTCAACCACCTCAATGGTGTGTGACAACTGGACACTGACTAAGGAAGACCAGAGAAGAATAGAGGCATTTGGATCATGGTGCTGCCAAAGAAGACTGAAAGTACCATGGGATGCCAAAAGAACGGATAAATGCATCTTGGAAGAAATAAAGCCAGAATGCTCCTTAGAGGCAAGGATGGTGAGACCTTGTCTCATATACTTTGGACATGTTGTCAGGAGAGACCTAGAGAAGGCATCATGCTTGGTGGAGGGGCAGCGAAAAAGAGGAAGGCCCTGGACAAGATAGACTGACATGGTGGCTGCAACACTGGGCTCAAATTTGAGAACAATTGTGAGGACGGCACAGGAGCAGGCAGTATGTCATTTTGTTGTACACTGAAGTCCAGCTCTGTGGGTCAGCAAACCCAGCGCCCTTTGTTACGTGCCCAGAGGCACTCCACTCCACAGGGCAGCTGGCTGCCCCAGAGCACTCAGCGTTATTTGCTCTGTGGGCTGGGAAGACCACCACTATCTTATGCTCTGGCTCCTGGCCCCACTGCTGCTGCTCTTCTGCCACTCCTTTAGTATCAAAGCTGCCTTTGGGATCAAGGAAGCTCAATACACAGGCATCTCGAGGTCCAAGAGACATGCTCCACTCACAGCTCTTCTCTTTTGCTGGTAATGAGCTCCTCCCTTCCTGCTTCTGAGATGGTTCCTTTTATACCCAGCAGGATGGCCAACACACGAATCTCACTAACAATCGCTCACAACAGTCTCCCATCAGCATCTTCCCCCACCTTCTCTGACACAGACCCATCAGAAAAAAAGGGTGCTTGGTGGAAGTTAACAAAGACTATGGCTAGAAGAGCCCCCAATCAATAATTCACCCCCCACCACCACCGCCCCACTCCCCTCCCTTTCCTACTCATCTCACACTTTTGTGTGTGTGGCAGTTGTAACATTCTGATCTGAAGACGGTTCATGTCTACATTTGCTCAAGCTGTAGCTCTGTGCATCTCTGTGTTGAATGACTCGTTGGCGCATCAGACAATGAAGAGATGTGCCAGCGACAGAGCCAGCGAAGGGCGATGCTTTTGCAATTCCCCCCTTACTAGGGCACAACAGCCACCCGGCTCCCCAACTTGATTCTCAACATTGGAATGTCCGACAGAAACATTGCCATGGCAAAGTTCTTTAAAATGGTGAAGTTTCAACAACAACAATAACCACAAACTAAACCCAGAAGGAAAACGGGGAACTTTCTGTTCTTCCGGGGCTCTCCTTTCACAAGGGTGGAATACCTCAACCCCCTGGCTTCAGCAATAAACTTCCGGGTCAGCTGAAAACTGAGAGGACTTTGGGGAGTCTCTGCAGAGAAAGCCATCTAAATGCTCAAGCTGCTACTCCAAGGACCACAGGCCTGACAAGTGCTTCCCAACTAAGGACAGATGCCGCGAAAATGCAGCAACACATGAATGGTTACAATAGATACTTAAAAATCACACCCACCTGGCTTAGTTCAGAATTAGAGGAAGAATCGAACGCTTCATCTGGGAACACAACTAAAAGGATTTTCTCTGAGTTCAGTGTCAAAGTCCAAACCAGACTTTAGACGTTCTTTCCAAAAAACTATGTGGCACCAGATATGAAAAAATAATTGAGTCATTAGAACTTTAAGACGGTCACACACACAAAAAGTGAGATTCTCAGAATTGGAATTTCTGACAGAAACACTGTCATTGTAAAGTGCTTTAAAATGGTGAAGTTACCACAAAAAAAAACAAAAAACTGGGTAAACTATGAGAGGATGTGGTCCTGGGAATATCAAAATAAACTTTAAAAATCTTGATTCCAAATGTGTACCTGTAAATGGGAAAAAGGGATGTAGAAAGATGAAGGTGACTGATGTGGAAACATGTGGGTAATGTCTGTGGGAGTTGTTTTTTGATTTAGAAAAAGATTCTATGAATTCTGACACTGTTATTTGCAAAGAGAGTTCCTGGGTGCAGGTGGCTGAATGTGCTCCGTTGCTAAGCGGAAAGTGGAAAGGGCTGGTTCACCTCAAGGCGCCCTGGAAGAGAGGCCTGATGACCTACTTTTGAAAAAGCAGCCATGAACGAAGCAAACTAGCACATTTCCACTCTGACACACTTGGGGTCACGTGAGTCGGAATGAACCCCAAGGCAACTGTTTTTGTGATTTGCACACAAACAAAAGCAAGAGCCCGGCTTTGAACAATCCCTGGGAAGCCTTTGGCACCACTTGCCTTCTCAAGCTGGGGAAAGCTCCACCTGATCTTTGGTTTTGGATCTGAAAGCTGTGGCTTTAAGGAGCAGAAAGGCAAACCTAACTTACCCGGAACTTCGTCATCTTTCTCTCCTACCTTCTGGGGAAAGCCAGCGTTCTGGGAAAGCGGAAGTCTGAAAGGGAAAGAGGGCGGGAGAGTGAGGCTGAGGAGGCAGCTGATCCATTTGGCACCTGATAGGAACAGGAAGAAGTCCCCTCTCCCTAGGCACACACAACTGCCCCCAGCTTGGAGAAGAGCAGGGGCTGGATTCTAGCCCCTGACAACAGTCCTAACCCAAGTGCTTTCTTTAGCCCTCAGAATACTTCCCCTGCACCCAGCTTTCAGAGCAAACAAGAGGCAAATGGACAGTATAATGTCCTGGGGCCCAAATGCCTGGATTTTAATTTCTCTGTATTACTTTCCACTTATTAGCAGTGTAAACCTTGAGTATTAAAACTCTCTGGGTCACCCTTCAATCACTTATAAGCAGGGATAATCATGCCTGTCTTCCCTATTTCCTGCCAGCTTCCGGTGTTTTGTTGCTAAGGTTGTCAGTTGTCACCGCGTGGGTTCTGTCTCACAGCAACCCTCTCTCTGTACAGCAGAGCAAAGCACGACCCAGTCTTGTGCCCTCCTTACAATCGCTGCCATGTCTGAGCCCACTGTTGCAGCCACGTGTCAGTCCATCTTGTGGAAAGCCTTCCTCTTTTTTGTTGACTCTCTACTTTATGATGTCCTTCTCCAGGGACCGGTCCCTCCCGCAAACATGTCCAAGGTCCACGAGTCAAAGTCTCCCCGTCCTTGCACCTAAGGAGCAGTCCAGCCGCACTGCTTCCAAGACAGATTTGTTTGTTCTCCTGGAAGTCCGTGGTGTACTCCATATTCTCCGTCAACACCATTCATCCGAATCCATCCGTTCTTCTTCGCTCTTCCGTTTCCAAGGAGATGCTATCACGCGTCATTCGAGACATGTCAGTGTGTTGTCTGTGAGTTGCTGTCACACTGGAAGCTCTGCCACCAGTGTTTCCGATCACCGCAGGGCCCTCCACGATGGACCGAGTTCACTGGCGCGTCCAGGCTGAAACCACACTAGGAAGAAAGAGCCGGTGATCTACTTCTGAAGACGAGCCAATTGAAAACCCTTCAGTGACCAACAGAATATTGTCCAATAGAGTGCTGGAAGCATCCCCTCGTGTGGAAACACCCCCACAATGAAAAACAAAATAAAGGACCGAGTCCATTCCAACGCACAGTGACCCTGTAGGACAGAGTTACAACTGCTCTTTACGTAAATCTTCAGGGTCGCTGACAGCCTCTCGTGTGTTTGAACCATCTCGCTTGTGGCTAGCTGCCCACCGGTAACCCACGGTGCTACCCAGGTTCCCCTAGATTGGAAGACATTCCCAAAGCACCATGACGGCATAGATGGTCTCCAGTCCACTAATGGTCAAAGAGATGGCACAGGGCCAGGCAACGTTTCATGTTCCTCTGTTGCGCCTGGATCACTCGGTGTCAAGCCGGCTTGATGCTACCTCACATTATGCTTCCTGAAACCGTCCTTGCCAGTCGCCTTTCCAGTAAGCGAATCTTTTAAGCCGCTCAGAATTCGGACACGATTGCTCTGAATGCTAAGTGACGGACCCTCCAAAAGGTCTACCTCGGATCGGCTGTCTCACCTGTACACCTGGGAAAGCCCAAACCCGTGTAAGATGGAAACCAGTCAGCAAAGGAAAACTCGACTATTCTCCACTAAAAGGAGTAAGAGAAAGATGATCAGACGGGCACCCTCCCAAAGGCAAGCAACGTGGGAAAACCCAGGGAGGCATGTGGAATTCTGGGGCTAGAAGACATCCCACTAATGCATTCACTGACGTCATGCCAGGTCAATTGTCAGGGCTTCCCACCCTTCCCCTCCCCCGCCCCCAGTAGTTGTAACCACTCGCATATTTGGGTTCAGCTGATGGAAACCCAACAAAGCCTCTCCTCCCACGTTCACCAGGGGAAATAAAAATAAAACACAAACCCACTGCCTACAGAGGATTTCCAAGACTGCCATCCTTTCCAGGAGCACACAGCCTCGTCTTTCTCCCAAAGAGCGGCGGGTGGGTTTGAACCACGGACCTCGCCGTTAGCTCGACGCCCAGTCCACGGCACCACCAAGGCTTCTTATCTCAGGGTCATTGGAGCCTCCAAAGCTGGGGACGCCTGGGTATTATAAAGGGATTAAAAGTCCACCTGCCAAGGGACACTAGCCTCTTGCCAGGCATCATCTCATCTAAGTGGCAAAAGAATACCGGACCGGAGGCACGAATCCTCGCCACGTAGAGAGCGAGGCAAGGGGGGGGTTCAGTAACTATGTGACCAGGAGGAGGAGGCAGAGGGGGGCGGTGGCGGGGGACGCGAGTTGGGGAGCAGAGAGCGCGGGACACCCACAAACCCGAGGCACGACGCGAGCACGCCCCCAAACGAAAGACTTCCACCAGCAGGGGAAAACTGCCGCCTCCGCCGCCCGACCGGGTTCTCTGGCGGTGGCTGCGGTTTCTCTTCCCCGAGACCCAGGACCAGGTCACCGCTGGCCCCACCAGCCGGCCGAGAAGGCTCCGAGGGGCCGCGGGGTACCTGCCTGACTCACCTCCAGGGGAGCAATCAAAGCCCCGACCTCGCCTTCCTGGAGCGCAAGTGCTCCTGGTACTCACAGCTCCCGGACTACACTTCCCAGCATCCCTGAGCCGAAACGCGTCTACGTCGACCCACTCCTGAACTACACTTCCCAGCATCCCTGAGCCGAAACTCGCCTACGTCAACCAACTCCAGGACTACACTTCCCAGGATCCCTTGCAGGCTAGCCATTCCCTCTAGTTCGCCTGCTGAGGCTCAACGCCCTTTGATGTAAGAAAAACCGCTGTGCAAAGTCCCTGGCAATCTCCACCAGGATTTGTGTTGCGTTTGAACAGGTTTTGAGCAAACTAAAGCTTTCCTGAAAGATAGAAAATGTCATTTCTAAGGGCAAGGTGTAAATTCCTTTCTGGAACTCTGGCCTGTTGGGTGGACAATCACCAGAATTCTGTTTGTACCTAATCTGCGCAGCATTTTCTAAGGAGAGTCTGGAAAATATCCGACGACGTGTTTGATTCTTTTGAGTTAACGACATTGAATTTTCTGTGCAGCCAATTAGGAAAAAGCAGAAGACTCTCAAGTTAAGCAGAAACAGGGTTTTTGAACTGTCTAGAAGCCATGATCAGTGTAAAATGACTTTACTAAATGAAAAGTTAATGTTTCAAAATTAACTATACCAAAGAAGGACTTGCAATGTCAGGTTTCTGTTCCAACTACCCAAGCTGTCCCAGGACCGTCTGCTCTTTGACTGTCACCTCTCTTTTGTATCCTCTATCTCTTTGCTGCTCTGAGGCGTGCTACTGAAGTCCCCTATACAAATACTTTGAACTGCCCCTAACGAACCTACTGAGAACTTAAAGTCTTTTCCTGAAATGCCTTTTCAAATTCACCTCCCTGCAGATACTGGAGATCCATAGTCCTATTACTCCTTACACGCACTTGGAATTACATCAAAACTCCTAAAGGCTTTTTAAAACTGCAACAAAATTTTTACAAGTTTGCTAAAGAATTAAAAACCTCAGTTGAAGGTTGCCAGCCTACACTCCTTGAGGTGTATCAACCAATCCACGTAAAAGCTGGGCCTGATAGTCGTCATTAGAACAGGCTGGATGGAGAAGTCATAAAGATAATATAGCTCTCAATCCAAAGAATACAACTACCAAATTGTTAGTAGATTAATAAGCTATCAGTATAAAAGTATTAGAGTCCATGTCTAAGACTTCTCCCCCAGTAAGAGACTGAATAACAATTCACCCTTGAATACAAAATAAAGGTGGGAATGTGTGTGGTTATCAGAGATTATTTAAAAGGTTGGTTGAGCATTCTGTGTCTGATCCATGATTCCTTGGGGCACAGAAGCTTTTAATTCAGTATTCATAAATTGCTCATATGCATATTCAAGTTGAAGCGGAAGGAAATAAAAACAAGTACACGAAAGCCAAAGTATGACCTTGAGTCTTGTGTTAGTCTGGGTAAACTAGGGAAACAAGTCCACAGAAACTCTTATGTATAAGAGTGAGTTTTATATAAAGGGTAACTATACATTAAGAAAGCATCCCAACTCAGTGCTGCCCAAGCCCATAGGTCCAACATTAACCCATAGGTC